CCCCGGGCCCGGGAACACAGCCCGGCCCTACTCAACTGCACACAGCGCCAAGGAAGCGGGTAACAAAGAGGCTTTTAATAGAAAACAATCGGTCTGGCAATAAACATTAAATAGAACTATGTACACCAACAGAGGCAAGGTAAAAACGGAATAAAAGAGTTTGATTTCTTGGTCAAAGGTCGTTTCTTGATCGCCGTTTCTTCATCCAGATTTCTTAATTACACACAAGCACCTCCTGGTACTCTGCCCATGCAAGAGTATTTACCCGATTAAAGTTTTTATGGTGAGGATTAAAAATCCATTTCTTTTTGCAGGTACTGGTATAGGGATTTTTCCAATGTATTTGTATTGCATTTGGACATATAAATACAGAATAAGAACAAGTAATTTTTGAGTAAACTCATTATTTACATATCGCAACCTTAAATTACTGTAATTTAATTTTTCTCTAATTACTATCTAATAGAAATAAATTTAAAGCTGCTAAATCAATATCAGTGCTAACAGAACCAAGTCAGAATTTTCTGCAGCCCAACCCTGTACATCTGCAATATAATACTTACTGTAACATAACCAGTTTAAAAAACCCCATGAAAATGGTCAAATCAACAAAAACATACGGTTCTTGTATTCAGGGCACAAACATGTATCTAATTTAAAAGTCAGAAAGGCATCACTAAAATTACAGAAGGATGCATTAGCAGAGAATAATCAGCTGAAAGCTGGGCCATTTAGAGAGGTACAATCAAACACATCTGCTCCCTAAAAAACCCTCTGCAGGTAAATACCAAGTTAATTATGTCATTTACCATGCTAAAAATAGGCATCAGCCTATACTACCTGAAAGTCCAGATTTTAAACAGAAAACTACAAGCTGAAAACACTACCAAATTTAGCTTCAATAGAGATTTTCAGAAATTATCAACATTTAAACTGACTATTTGGAATGACCCTTCCTCTCACTGTGCAAAATTCATAAGAGATTGAAAACAAAACTGTTTCCCTTTTAAGTTTTACAAACACTAGAGCAAAGATTTGATACCGCAGATTGGGTGCCAATATATAAAATTTTTCATGAGATGAACTGTTAACAAAAAAGTTATCAGAAAGCAGGTGTGAGTGAGCTGCATTACAATTAGGTTGCTGGAAACTCAAAAAGAGATGTGATTAGTTCTCTTTCTTCTTACTTTTTGATTAATGACTTTTATAAACACCAAGACCTTCGTGTTGTTTTTGCTTAGCTCTTTTCCACAATAATCATCAAATTAAATTAATTACAATCACAACAAGTAATGTATAGCAAGGCAAGGATAAGGACAACAAAGTGGCAAGTTTCACCAACATTCTCCAGAAGCAGCTGCTTGGTTCAACGTTCAGAACTTGAACATTTGAAGAGAATACAGGGATTTCTTTTCTTTAGAGCTTTCTTTAAAAAATGGAACCACCACAAAATGAGCAGGTCTTGTTAGCTATAATCATACAGGATATACACATATATATGGTTCTACTGAAGGGATTTCTCTTCTTATTCTCACTGAAAAGAACAAAGGCAGCTTTGTAAATGTTTATGAAAGAGGCTGAGAAGGGCATCATCTAACTCAAGCAAATAAATCATCGACTGACACTTGCATCCTAGCCTTCACATTTGTAATACGCAGACACAGTATTTAAATAAACTGAACCAACACAACTGGCAGTCAGGGACCCTGCTCTTCCTTTTCCAAAATTACTGCATTAAGACCCCTTTCAAGCATTCCAACAGGTAAGAATTTTAATGAAGGTTTAGACCTGCCTGCACAGTCAGATGTTAAAAAGAACACAGTCCAGAAAGTTTTAGTGTAGCTACTGTGTGGAATTCTACAGCCATCACGGTACTTCAGAGCCAAAAAACAAAGTAAGTTCATGGCAAAAAATAAAAGTAAAGAAATAGACACAAAGGTCTGTGAAAACATCTCCCATTTTGCTATAGGTGTCCATGGAACGACTGATCACTTCTGCAGGGATTCCAGACAGGAGAAGAGCAGCAGTCAGTACTGTCGTTTTCACCTTCTTCTCACACTAAAAGGGAAAGAAAAACCAGTATCACATTACTTCTTCTAATCCAATTCTGCTTTACATGTCACCAATGTTGTGCCAGTTTCACACATTCCAACTTCTTTGCTAGGAGTAGCAGGTTTGGATTGATTCTGTCCAGACACACTCCAGGGGTCACAGCCCTTGTCCTAGACACAGATTGCTGCTGTGATGGATCCACCAGAGCTGAGTGAGAGGCTGGTTTACAGCAGATAAAAATCATCCTGGATATTCTGCCTCCTTTACACTAGTGCTCCCAGCAAGCTGAGACGTGAGGCTGAGCAGCTGCTTCTGCATGAGTGGGAACATTCCCAGACAAGGGATATCTAGGTATAAGAAGCCAAGCCTGGCATCTCCATTGTCAGAACTGGATCAATCTCATCACACTATTTGGCAAAAAACAGAATCCCAGAATGGTTTGAGTTGGAAGGGATCTTAATGCTCATCTCATTCCAACCCCCTGCTATGGGCAGAGACACCTTCCATTAGACCAGGTTGCTCAAAGCCCTATAAATACTGTTAAGTTTTCAAACAGAAAAATTATTTAGAGTTGTAAACCAACTGTTCCTGTTTTAGAACAATTTAATTTGTAAGTTTTATCCTCTGAACTCAGAAATGCTTCAAAACCTTTTGAAAGCTATTCCATCCTTAAGATGAGGAATCCCAAGGATGCAAGTCTGACAGACAGGAAAAGGTGACAGTGGCTGAAAATTCTAGCAATTTGATACTTGCTGGTATTTTAATTTAATCCAATCTAAATTAAGCTTTCTAGAATATTTCTGTTTCATGGGAGAAAAATAAAGATTAACAAAGGGATTGACCTCACCCAGGTCTAACTGCAGTAAAAGCAAGTTGTGGAAAGGAATCACCTCTTTGAATTCTGAAACTGAGAACTGATTTTAAGTACACCAGAAACAAGATCAGGATGATGTAGCAGATGAGCTGATGCAAATCTTAAGGCTAATTTTACTGTTTTCTGTTGTGACACATCAGCTTAGAATGACTATTATGATATACTTAACTACAAAACAACTGCTGATTTATTCTGATTTTCTACAAATAATCTATTATTCCTTTTAAAATGCAAATTTTCCCATTTAACTATGGATTGAGCATCCCACTCTGCACCACAGACCTGACAAAACCATCAACCTAACAAAGGCTTCAGCACAATTACCTGTTGTAAATATATAAAACAAGTGGTATAGCAAATCTTGCTAATAAGCAGCCAAGTTTCACTCACAAATAAATGTCTCATTTTAAGCTGCCTTTCAAACCAATACCAGCAGGGGAATGCAGAGCCCTAGAAACTCAACGTTCTGCCTCATTTTTTAGCAAACACTCTCCCAAATTTTATCCAGATATTACATGCAGAACAAAGCTTAGCAAAGCAAATAATAATCAGAGAAGAGCATGGTCTAGAAGAAAAGCAAGTTTCCTGAAGACATGAAAGGACTACCTGGATTTCCTGGTCAGATGCTTTTAATTAGGCTACAGCTACACAAGCTGCTAGTCTGTTTTCACTGCAACTTTAAAAAAGATCCTGGACTAAATCTGGAAATATTATAAACTAATGTAGCATAAACTATCAGCACTGGTCATTCAACTTTTCAGTTTAAAACAAGGGAAGAATACTTCACATGCATTGGTCCTAAAACAATGCAATATAAACACAAGTTCGAATTTTAAACACTTCAAATTAATCTAATTCTAAAAAATAAAAAATTACCTTTGGAAAGTACTTGGACAGTCCCATGTAAGCAAGTTGTAGAGTAAGAAATGGTGCAAATATTGACTGAAGGAATAGAAAAAATATATATTAAAAAAACCTTGGTCAGAATAGTTAAGAAACAAAGATTTAATGCTTCCTAAGTCCTAAAAGAAAATTAGGTAAAAATTTATTTGTGGAACAAAGCAACATTGTTCTTGAACACTACAAATCTAAGTAGATAAGCTACATGTCAAAAATAAGGTTCTGCCCTATATTCTTTGAGCCTAAAGAACTGAAATGGCAGAAGAGAACAACAGAGTGTAAAACTGAGCCCAAGGATTCAGGAGGTGGACAGCTGTACCTGCCTCACACCTCTGTCCTGTTGTTCTGGCAGGCACTGGGAATACTGAGGAACTACTTTTCCCAGGCTGACAAATGAGTAGGATCTACTTATCTTGGTAGAACTATTATTATTAGAATCACAGAATTGTTTGGGTTGAAAGTGACCTAAAAAGCCACCTCATTCCAAACCCCTTCCATGGGCAGGGATACTTTCCATGAGACCAGGCTGCTCCAAGCTCCATCCAACCTGACCTTGGACATTTCCACAGATAGATGGGAACTCTATTCTTACTCTATTATTCTTTTGTAGACCCCACACTAGAGGAGCAGCTGACTCATATGCTCACCAAGATGGGAATACACTTGCAGGAGACTTAAGCTGCAACAACTATTCCAGTGCCTCTGGTCCTGAAACACAACAGACTAAATGTGCTGCTCTCAGTGGTTACACAGTAACCACTTGTGTTGGTAGCAGATAAATCTCAGAATTCAGCATTTTTTTTTAGGTTTTATGAAATTTTTAGAAATGTAAAGAGTGCCTAAAGTTCCCAACTTGGTCATTACCAATAGACTTAAGCCCCAGATATTTCCCAATAATTTGCACCAACCAGCAAACCCTAGCATGATCGTGTTTTTGAACTCACCAGGTACTTGCACACAAAAGCCCTGACCCCGATGGCAAGCAGAGCACATCCCACCAATCTGAAAATGCGGAAAGAGTCAAACTCCTCTGCCGCATTCCCATTCTCTTGGCTTGGCTTCTCACTCATCAGCTGGTTCCTCAGCTTCAGAGCTTCATCAAACCTGGACAGATACTGCTCCAAGCCGTGTCTTGGTGGCCGTGGTGCAGCCTCAGAGGGCAGCTCTCCTCTGTGACGGTGACGGAGCTCGCCTGTCCCCTCGGTGACCAGCTCTGGGGCTTTACCAAACAAGTCCTTGTCCCCTCTGAGCTCTGCCATGCTGCCTCCATGGTCAGTCGAGCCTGTCACGTTACACACAGAATCACCAAGCACAATCCGCTTGGAAACCGAAGGAATGGGAAGGGAGTTTGATTTATCTTGCTCATGCTGAAGCTTTAATTCTGTGTGACTTTCATCATCTAAGGAAGAAAAATAAAAACAGAGTTATGCATGCTGAGTATGTGGAACAACACTTCAGCTATACTGGATCAGGATCCTGGATCTCTGCTTCCCAAGAGAAAAGGCAGATTTATGATTAAATAGGGCACTCTTCATGGAGCAAACACGACATAAAGCTGTGCAATGCAGGTCAGAAGTTAAAGCTGTCAGTCAGCAATGGAGAAATTAAAACACTGAACTTCTTTAAGCAACAGCACTGCACACACGAGCAGAAAGATACAAATACATGGATTGACATTAAGAAAAAAGACAAAGATTTGCAGAAAGTGAATCAACCAAAAGAACACTAGTACTTGACAAATAAGCAGACAACATAAGTGCACTTTAGCTTGCTGTCTATCGTCAGAGGCTGGGCAGTGTTAACCTGCTCTTTATCAAACCTGAAGACCCATCTTACAGAGAGGGAGGTGATGGCATAGAACAAAAGCCAAATCAAGAACGTGTCTGATCCTACAGGAGAGCAAGAACTGACACTTCAGGAATACTTGGCATTACGTCAGACTGATTCATGGCTCATGGACATCCTTGTAAACCAAAATCTGAGAACTCTCCTCACAAGACAGCCCACTTGAAGGATGTACTGAGCTATAACTGAGCTACCTAGGTTACGGTTCTGCAAGAAAATTCTGCATGCTAACCACAAATATCTATATCACCATCCAAATGTGAGATAATTTTGCTATAAAAAGCCGACTATGAAAACCACCAGCTACTGACTAAAAACATGGGGGAGGCTCATCGTTTCTTCAGCTAAAAAAAAATTCTTGCAGTGATATGACATCTGGTATGCTCGCTATCTAGGCACCGTGCCGGGCCCAAGCCCGACCCTCCGGCGGCACAGGGATTTTATGGGTGGGTCCCTCGCGCAGCAGGGCAGGTCGTGCTGCTCGAAGCATCCCTAGGAACGAAGGCGGCACTGAGGGACCGGGGAGCCAGCCGGCCCTGTCCCTGCGGGGAACCGGCCGCTCCTGCTCACCAGGGGACCGCGGGCAGCGGTCACGCTCGGAGAGGCCAAGGCGCCACCGCAGCCCCGGAGCCCTCACACAGC